AACAGCTTTTATTAAAAATTGACGCTGAATCTGTTAAAAAGTAATTAGAACAAATGGATACAATAGATGATTGGAAAGAAGGAAATTTTTAGTTAACAAGGAAAATATGCTTTACATTAAAAAGGAAATCAATTGTAAGCAAATATTTGTCTTATTAAAACAATGCTACATACAGACAAGTCAAACTTAAATATGTTTAGGTCCGATGGACAAATTATTATGGGGCAAAACCTGAATTATTGCCTGTTGTTAATTATGGGGTTAAGACTAATTATTTAATTTGGTGATGTTTCACTGTCTTTGGAATAGGAAATTTTGTTTTTATAGAAAAGAAAATATGCATATGTACAAATCTGTAAATATTCTTAATAAATCCTGAAAGCATTCACAAGAAAACTGGAAATGTCAAATATATTCAACTTCTATCAGGTTAATCATCCGAAACATACATACCCAGTGTTGCCCCCGATTTTCGACCGCTCTCCTGCCAACCCGATTTACAATATATTTCTCCCGACTTTTTCTTATTCTTAAAATTTCTCACGATTTTTATGCAACTTGGCGTAATACTTTGTTATATGAATAAAAAAAAAGGGCTTTCGGATGTCTGAAAGCAATTGAATTTTCTCTACATTATATCTAAAACGAAACCTTGCAAATCAGATAGCATCTACTGTGAATTATGGTAGTCTGAAGTATTCGGCCTATCGGCCTTTACTCGAAAAATTAGTATCCCTACTGGGCAGTCTTAGTGAAAATCTTAAACAGTACAATTTGTACGTCTTCTTTGGCGAAGCAATAGATGACGGCGAGACTTAGCGAGATTATATACAACACCCAGTGCACTCTGTTTAATTGAACATGCAGAGTAGTCAAGTGAAGAATAATGACTTCCAATATCATTAAAAATTGTCCGAGTAATAAAGTTTTTGTATTTTTCGTAAGATAAATGTTCAAAGTTCATGGAAAAATACCAAAATTTAAAAAAGATGAAGTAGAATTAATGAAAAAAAAAAAAAAAAAATGTGGGCGGGACTTAGCCTTGATCAATGCTATGATGTCCAATAGTCATCTGACGAAAACACATTCTGAGTAACTTGAGCAAAGATTATTTACAATACGATACGATTTCAATAAAACTTGAACTTCTGGGATAAATATTAGCAATTTGAGCTAAAAAGATTTAGCAAAGATTATTTACAACACATTACAAGTTCTAATTAAACTTGATCTTCTGGGATAGATAACAGGATAAGTAACGAAATTTCTTGAGTAAATATATACAAATGTGTACATAGATGTTTGACTACTTTCAATTATTATTATAGAAAATTGTCCTTTGGACGTTTAAAGGGCTGGTTAATGCAGTGATCGTAATTTATATCTAATGACATTGTGCTGATGATTATCACATTTGGAGTGAAAATGTTTAGATAATTTGAGAATTTCTTCGTTGATGGTGTTAATCTTGAAACTTTTTCTTATCACGGTGTTTCTGACGAACCATTGAGAGTCTGACATAATTCGTAAGTGAATATTTTGTTGGCTTTGTAATTTGGATCTGTGGGTATTGGCGGTAGCAGCCCAAGCTGGAACTGCATATAGAACTATTGGACAAATGGATTGCAAATAAATGATTCTTTTGATAGCATATTGGAGTTGCGATTTTCTCCCTAGTAGAGGATAAACGCCATAAATGCTTTTTGAGCTTTCTTTTTCACGTAGTCTGTATGTTGATGGAAGGTTAATTTCTTATCAAGGAAAACTCCTAGATATTTAACATGAGGTTCTCTTTTAATGATGTCGTTATTGATTTTGATAGCCTCAAAATTTCCTCTGAGAGTTTTTTTGCTGAAAAGAACGACTGTTGATTTTTCAGTATTGATTTTTATTTTCCATTCTGTAAACCAGCTTATTAATTTGTCGGTGGATTCTTGCAATTTAATTAAGGCCATGTGGGGATTCATAGATTTGCATAGAGCGGCTGTGTCGTCTGTATAACATGCAGTGAGTGCACAGTCCATAATTGGTAGATCGTTGATAAAGTAATTAAAAAGCAAAGGTGAAAGAATTGCTCCCTGCGGTGTGCCAGCACTGATTTTTCTGATGGTAGAAAGATGATCATTAATTTTCGTTTGAAATGTTCTATTGTTGAGGAAGTCAGCTATTATTAATATAATCTCAGGAGGAATTTTGTGATCGATAAGCTTGATAAGGAGAGCATCATGCCACACCTTATCGAAAGCTTTCTCAATGTCGAGAAAGAGGCCTGCCACAGTTTCTTTTTTATTGAAGCATTCTTCAATATATTCTATTAGTCTGGCAATTTGATGTGTAGCGGAGAAATGGGCTCTGAATCCAAACTGATGCGGTTTGATGATATGTTGCTATTAGTGAATGAAGAGAGACGATGCAGGATGATTTGCGTGTCAGCTGTCATATATTAGCCAATGAGGACAAAGCAAGTTGCTATTTGGACATTCTTTAGTTATTTCATTCATTTTGTCCTGAGTTGTGTGAGTACACGTGCCTTAGGGAAATAGTTTTAGAAATTATCATCTTTTGTTACGTCTGGTAAGAAAGGTAAAATACTCGTGTACGTTTCAAAAATCTTACACAGTTGACTTTCCTTCCATTATTTCCTCAAGGAAATGTAATAAATTTGCGATGTGTACTGCCTGTCATTGCAATTTTTCGATTTTGCATGAAGGGCAGATGTTCTCAAACATGTGCGTACACAAAAACACAAGGATAACATGAGTTGTTTTTAAAAAAAACAAAAAATTAAATTTTTCTTCGGAAACAAAGGACCAAAAAGTTATTTATGCAGAATGTCTGTTCTCTGCCTTTTTACTGGAGCACAATCTGCCACTCAATGCATTGGATCACGCTGCAGCTTTATTTAGAAAAATGTTTCTCGATAGTGAAATTGCTAAAAAATACTCAAGGTGCAAGAATCAAAACAGGTGCAATTGTTAAAGAAATGGGTTTGAAAAATAAATCTTCAGTTATTGATTGCATTAAAACAGCTTCGTTCTGCCTCTCTACATATGGAAGCAATAATACCGATTCAAAACTGTATCCAGTTGTTGTTTCTTTTTTTTAATCCAGAGTCTTCAGAAATTGAGTGCAGTTTACTCTCTGTCCCCACTTTAGAAGGACATTCGACAGGCTTTAATATAGCACAGCTAATTATTAAAGAAAATGCAGGCCCTCTGGATAATTGTTTAGCACTTGGTGCCGATAATGCACCAGTAATGGTAGGCTTGAAGACTGGTGTTGCAGGCATCTTAAGAAAGGAGAATTCAGATTTGTGGATTATGAGGCTCACCTGTCACCTCTTAAATTTAGCAGCTGAAAAAGGGGCAGCTTCTTTACCAATAAATGTGGATGTTGATATTTATTATTATCTTGAAAGGAGTTCTAAAAGGAAGGAAAAGTTGAAACAGTTCCAACAGCTGATAACAGCAGTTGCACCCAGTGGAGTTTAATTGCAAAACTGAAATGTGCTGATGGAATTTTAAAATATAGTGAACTGTCTAGAATTGTGTTGGCCATCTTGACAGTTCCCTATAGTAATGCAGAGTGTGAGAGGATTCTCGGTGTTGTTGCGAAAACGAGGACTAAATTTAGATCTAATATTAGTGATGACACATTAGAAAAACTTTTATCAGCAAAAGCAGGCCTACTTGGCAATTGCTGTGAACAAAATTATGAAGTTTCTTTCTTAAAGAAAGCAAAATCTGCCACTGTTTATAACATTTGTATGAAAACTGATTAAAGTTTTTTTTTTTTTTTTTTCTGAAACGATGCACGTAATAAAAATGTTTTTAATGTGTAAGGTATTTTTGTGTTGCTTGCATTTAAGAATTAGTTACTATTTAAAGTTAATTCATTATTAAAAACTATATTTTTATCATTTAAAAAGTCTTTTTAACATTGTGAAAAATCTCCCGATTTCTTAAAAAAATCTCCTGATTTTTGAGTGTCATAGGTTGGCAAGTATGCATACCTAAATGTTCCCTTGATTTTTTTATACAACTGGTACCTGAAATCAAATATGTATAGAATGTATTGGAGAAAGAATAAGGAAACATATTTCTTTGAAAGCTCTACTGAAAGCAATTCTTATGGAGGAATGGAACATTCGTACGTAATAAAATTAGTTCATGTCAAATTGCAGGAACAAATGTAAATATAGGTTTAGGATAATCCATCGAAATATTAAATGTCATATTATTTTCAGCTTTTTGCCAAATATAAGCTGTTCAAAGTGTCCAAATAATTAATTTTCAATACTTTTTGAGTGAATTTTTTTATACGAAAAACATTTTCCAGAACAAGCAAGTTTTAAAAAAGATGATCAGTAGTATATCTGAAAAAAAAAAAAAAATGTAAAGTCATTTCGCCATTATTTAGTAACTGGTATTTGCAAATAAAGCTGAAAAACAAGTCTCTGAAAACAAATGTTAGCCATTGTAAAAGGGTACTGTGGTAACCTGTCTTTCTTAACAGAGATAAGCAATGCCATTTATCTTGAAATCTCCTACATCCATCTGGGTATGCTGTATGTTTCAATTGATGGTGTTCTCACACTCATGAAGAGGCTAATTTCATGTGATGGCAGAAATACTTAGTGCTGTGATATGGTTTTAGATATTTGTATGAATGAAAATAAACATAGCTCACCATGGAATTCTGTGATCTGGTGCATGAAGTGGCCTTTGCCAACAAATACTTGAGTGAAAACATTTTATCTGCCAATAAAAATCTTCCTTCAGGAGAATTATTTCTTTTTTCACAAGTTGAATTCAAGCCTATTTCTTCAAATTGTATGAATTTCTGAAACATTTAAATAATTATGGGATTCCTAGTGTACCATTAGATTCACATTCTTAAATTATTATTATTAAAATATCTCACATATTTCATTAGCTATTCAAATTTCATTTTGTATTTCTTGTAAGAGTCATTTTAATAATTTTATGTTTTTATTTCAGTTTGCTGGTCTAGACTTTACCTCCACTCATACTAGTGGAGTCAAGAGTTCAGGTAAATTTTACATTTTATCCTAATGTATTTTGTGATCAATAAGTATAGTAGAGAAACTTCATGATGTATGTTTATATACAGAGATTTAAGTGCATATCTTATAAAAATAAATGTTATTGGTGGTTTATAAAGCAGCTGCTATTTTCTTATTAGAACCTCTTTTTTTTTCTTTTAAGCTTAAAGGGCATAAGCCCAGAAGGGCTATTTCGTTTTGGAACTTTTTCATCGATTCACTTTCTGCGATGATTCACTTTTCAGACTGTTGCCACCAAATATTAGAGCCCTATATTATATTTAAAGAAATTAAATAATAAAGATCTGCATAAATGTATGTATGTTTCTCGTATTGGGATAAAACAATGGTACCTAGAGCCATCAAATTTTGAATAATGTAATCCTCCACCAATATGGGCATCTGGAAGTCTGAATTTAGAATTTGTTTTATTATCTTATTTCAGTTTTTATCAGACTTAAAAGAATTTTTGATTAACAAACTCGACGATTTCAAAGCGAGGAATGACAACACTGTACGGAAAAAAAAGAAATGCCGATGGCATTTTTATGACCAGTGCGCGAGACTATGTGTTGGAAATTCTAAAGATATGCTCATTTTAAAATTATTTTGCAATATTGCTGTTGAATTGAATATTATGGTTTAAGTGCGAAGAACATGATAAAGGTAACACACAATACATTAAAAAATACCCATTTGGGGCATAATGCTAAATCTGACAACTTTTAGATTTTTTTTAATGTACGAAAGTCGTCTATGATTCAGACCTTAATTTGTCAAAATAATGAAACTGGTAGGAAAACTTTTAACAAGCTACTTGGAAATTGTGTATCAAGAATTATGCACATAATCCATCTATGTTATGCAATGATCCAGCAACATTAGCATGACTCATAGAAATCGTGCTCAGATGTCTTTCCTATGAAGTCTGTTGCAACTCTCAGGGCTACAACATGCAGGTTACAAATTAATAATCACTGCAGGGAGCAGGGATTATTAATATAAAGATTTTAATATGGATATCTCACACAAGCTGAAAACGTTACATTACTCTATCAAGTGCATACATATAACTGAGTGAAAAGGTAATTTCCCTGCTTAGTTTGCAGTTAAAGAAAAATAAGAGTAATAAAAAATGGTCCAATCAGAAGTGGTGCTCTTTCTGTCTACTTCGATCAGCCGTTACATAGTCGTCTGTCTGCAGCAGCCATCTCCAACATCCTCCCCCTCTTTGAGTCGACTTCAGGTTGGCTCAAAGACATACAGTACCTGGTCGAAGAGATCTAATCTCTGAGGCACCTTGATCACATGACCAAATCTTGACACTTTAGCACCTTGCAGGATGTTACTAGAGTCATTTGAAGAATTGTTAGAATCTGAGTGCTCATCACTAGAAATAGAAGAAATAGGATTAGTAAAAGAGTTATCGTTTATGGGATCAGTGGGTGTGTTCATTAACTGCACTTCCAATGGAAAGACTCGCAGAATGGGACGAAAAACCGTACTAGCTTGAATCTTCAGTTCTACAGTTCTCACCTTGCCATCTTTCCCAGGAATTAGTCGAATGACCTTAGCTTGAGGCCAATGCATTTGTTTTTTGATGTCATCTTCTATTAGGACAATTTCACCCAACAGTAGCTCTGACGATGGACGCTTCTTATTTTGAACCAGAAGGCCTAAGTATTCTTTCCTAAATCTATGCCTTAAATCATTAAGCAGTTTTTGGCGATGTCTAGCCCGTTTCCGAAGACCTTTCGAATCACGGAAATCAACATCGGGAACACCTAAGCTACGATTCTTGATGAGAAACATGGCTGGGGAAAGTGGGATTAAATCATTTGGATTTTCAAACAGATAGGTAAGAGGTCTAGAGTTAATTATTGACTCGCAGTTGCACAATACTGTGTATAACTCCTCGGTTGTAAGAACCGTGTTACCGAGTGTCCTCAACAGTTCTACACGAACTAACCTCTTCCACCAGAGAGAATCGTAAAATGAACGAGGGGAACTGCCTCTTGAAAGAATATTTGCTGGGTTTAAATCATCTGGTACACGGTGCCAACACTGAGAAGGAATCAGACTGTTTATTTCTTTTACTCTATTCACAACGAAAACTGACCACTCACCACGGTTTTTAATCCACCACAGTGCTACCATAAAATAACTTCATGCAATAATTTTCAAATCAGGCAAATCTAAGGTGGCGTATACGGAGTGAACCAGTCTCGCGCCAATGCCATCAATTCTAACCGGGGTATTGTCAGAGATTTTAAGGGCACTACCTGGATTTGGCTCTGATTAATCGAATTTTGACTGCCACGGGCATTACAGTTTTAATGTAGACACATGCACCATAGGAGCTCTTACATGCATCAGCGAACAGATGCAGCTTTGAATTCTCATTTATCTCTACATATTATGGAATACTAATTTTCTCAAGATATTTAATTTCATCCTGCCACCTCTGAAAAGTTTTCTGAATATTATCTGGCAAGGGATCATTTTAATTTCATAGTCCAAGCTTCCTGTAATAGTAACTTTGGTAACAAGATAGTTGTACTCAAAAAACCCTGCGCATCAAAAATTTTATGTACCATAGCCAAAATATTACGTTTACTTATCTCATTATCTATTGAATAATTAAGATTACATTTTAATGTATCGTTATCCAAATCCCATAAGATTCCAAGAAGTTACACCTGAACTATGGGAAATACAATGACCTGAAACATTACTTTCCTGACCCCGTAGGTTAAAACATCCCGGAGCCATTACTTCTGTTGCCTTAACTATAAAATTTTCTTGCTATTTGATTTCGTGAATCTTAGTGACACAATTGTCAACATAAAACGAATGCTTTAATTTTTGGGTCACATCGTCAAGCTCAGCAGGGAAATTATCCAAGAGATGGTCTATCGATGCAGAGAGTTGGATCGATGCAGAGATATTATGGAATACTAATTTTCTCAAGATATTTAATTTCATCCTGCCACCTCTGAAAAGTTTTCTGAATATTATCTGGCAAGGGATCATCCCATTTTAATTTCATAGTCCATTCAAAGACGAACAAACCCTGAACACCACTCTGCAGTGTCTGTAAATCATAGGTTCTTCAAGAGTTGGAAGAAAAAACCTCAAATAATCTCTATGTTCTGGGATAATATTCAGCTGAAGAAACGCTTTCTCTATATCCGATGATAAACCAACGGAATACAATCTAAACCTGTCAATTATATCAGGTATGAGTTCAATTAAATTCGGCGCTCTATTTAAACAATCATTTAGGGACTGTTGATTTCTCTCTCGAGATGAAACATCGAACACCGGCCTTACCTTCATTGTCTGGCTAGTATGCTTTATAACAGGTCTATGGAGCAAATAATAACTCAAATTATCAATTTCAGTTTCAGAAACCTTTTATATTATTTTTAGGTCTTCCCATTGCTTAAAAACTACCTTATAGTCATCTAACTGATTTTCCTCATTAATTCGTTGACACATTCTTTGATGCCTTTTAAAAGTCATAGACTTACCTGTTAGGTAACAGAATTTCAAATTTAAAGGATAGTGGCAATTCATGTGGGCCATCAGGAAGAACATTGAAATTCTCTTTAAATTGCTTAACGGTGTCAGAGTGAGCAAGTTTACGTTTAACATATTCAGTTGGGTCTGTTATGCCAATGGCATCTAAAATTCCAGAGTTCGGTTACGCTAAGATTAGCACAATGCAAAGAAACTACATTATTGCACAAATTATTTTCTAGTAATGCTGGAATAGTAGCTGAAGTAGGTTCTTTAGATAAGTGTTTACTCTACCAATCACAGTGTATCCGAATTTAGTCTCAACTACAGTTACACCAGAGTTCAGTTTCAGAGAGCTGCCAGTAATAATATCCCCAATGGCATCTGCTCCTAAAGCAACTCAATGTCATATTCTTTAGCTTCCAAATCAGACAAGGTAATATTTCTTTCTTTTAATTCTTTCAGGGTATTGTGATCAACTACTTTTGTAACAGATCCACATAATTTGTTTTGAGAAAGTACTTCAAAGTTATGGTCATAAGTGCCCTCAAAATTTATTAAATTAGCATCCGACACTAAATGAGAATGAAGACTTGTCTCTCCCTCCCCAAACAAACCGTGTATAATGCTTTGTTTCGATTTAGGACGCAAAAACGCGATGATCCTTTCTGAGAGATAAGATTTCTGAGAACCACTGTCCGAAATCGTACGAACTGTAAGTTGTCTACCTTCGAATACTATTTTTAAAATAAGTGTTTGCAAATACACATTTTCATTAACAGTTGACTGATTAGACAATACATTACTTGAAATAACAGTTCTGTCAGTTTCTTTTGTTAATATGTTTTTGTTTAAATAACAGTTCTGTCAGTTTTTTTTACAGGTTCGCCATTTGAACAAATAATGGTATAGTGAAATTTATCACAAGTTAAACATTTTACTTTATTTTTGCATGCCCGTGAACTATGTCCATTTTGTAGGCAGCGAAAACAGGTGCGCTTTTGCACCAAAAGTTTTCGTTTATCTTCTAAAGACATTTTGCGAGCAGAAAAACATTTGGTAGAATTGTGGGATTTCTCACAAAAAATACAACGTAAATTTCACTTACCTGTATTGTTCTTGAACATTTACCAAAGCAGCAGCTGTAGAGCAACCCGGATCCTCAGATTGTGAGCCCGAATGTGCAGAACGTGAAGCTCCCAACCCGGTACGAGCGAGCTTAATCATTTCCTCACTTTGCACTTCGTTTTGAAGAAAGCACAAAAGTTTATCCAAAGAACGCGCACTAGCTTGCTGTGACGCAGTATCTTCTGTCGAGCGGCTTCTTTCCCACGCTTGAAGACCAGTCTCTGGTAAACAGGACTCAACAAGTGGTTCCAAAAGTTCTGCAAATTTTTCCTTAGTTCTACCGAGGCTTTCGAGTGCCATAAGCTTTCTCTCAAGTAAATCATAAAGTTCAGCTAAA